CCCCCGTCATCTACCCGCTGATATCCTGCCCCCCCTGCGAGGACAATGTCACCTTCGGCTGCTTGGTCAGCGATTTTTTCCCCCCACCCGTCACCGTCACATGGGTTTCCAGCACCACGGGAGCCTTCGAGACCTTCTCGGCCGTGCTGACCGGCAACGGTTACTACAGCCTCAGCACCCAGTTCACCCTCCCCACCAGCAGATTGGAGGGCAACACCTTCCAGTGTCAGGTGGACCACAGCTCTGCCGGAAGCACCATCACCAGGGACTTCAGAGGTGAGAAAGGCAACGGGGAGTGTCGTCCGTGGCATTGCACGACGTCTTGGTGGGCATCTAGACGGGTTGGTGTCGCTCCCAGCCTTGCACCATGTCTTGGTGGACCTCTGAATGGGTTGACGTTGCTCCCAGCCTTGCGTGAGGTCTTGGTGGACACCTAGAAGGGTTGGGGTTGCTCCCAGCCTTACGTGATGTCTTGGTGGACACCTAGATGGGTTCCTCCCAGCCTTGCATGATGTCTTGGTGGACACCTAGATGGGTTGGGGTTGCTCCCAGCCTTGTTTGATGTCTTGGTGGTCTCCTAGATGGGTTGGCATTGCTTCCAGCCTTGCGTGAGGTCTTGGTGGACACCTAGATGGGTTGCTCCCAGCCTTGCGTGATGTCTTGGTGGACACCTAGAAGGGTTGGGGTTGCTCCCAGCCTTGTTTGATGTCTTGGTGGTCTCCTAGATGGGTTGGCATTGCTTCCAGCCTTGAGTGAGGTCTTGGTGGACACCTAGATGGGTTGCTCCTCCCAGCCTTGCGTGATGTCTTGGTGGACCTCTAGATGGGTTGGCGTTGCTCCCAGCCTTGCTTCCAGCCTTGCATGATATCTTGGCCAACCCTTAGATGGGTTGGCATTGCTCCCAGCCTTGCATGATGTCTTGGTGGACACCTAGATGGGTTGGGGTTGCTCCCAGCCTTGTTTGATGTCTTGGTGGTCTCCTAGATGGGTTGGCATTGCTTCCAGCCTTGCGTGAGGTCTTGGTGGACACCTAGATGGGTTGCTCCCAGCCTTGCGTGAGGTCTTGGTGGACACCTAGATGGGTTGCTCCCAGCCTTGCGTGAGGTCTTGGTGGACACCTAGATGGGTTGCTCCCAGCCTTGCGTGAGGTCTTGGTGGACACCTAGATGGGTTGCTCCCAGCCTTGCGTGAGGTCTTGGTGGACACCTAGATGGGTTGCTCCCAGCCTTGCGTGAGGTCTTGGTGGACACCTAGATGGGTTGCTCCCAGCCTTGCGTGAGGTCTTGGTGGACACCTAGATGGGTTGCTCCCAGCCTTGCGTGAGGTCTTGGTGGACACCTAGATGGGTTGCTCCCAGCCTTGCGTGAGGTCTTGGTGGACACCTAGATGGGTTGCTCCCAGCCTTGCGTGAGGTCTTGGTGGACACCTAGATGGGTTGCTCCCAGCCTTGCGTGAGGTCTTGGTGGACACCTAGATGGGTTGCTCCCAGCCTTGCGTGAGGTCTTGGTGGACACCTAGATGGGTTGCTCCCAGCCTTGCGTGAGGTCTTGGTGGACACCTAGATGGGTTGCTCCCAGCCTTGCGTGAGGTCTTGGTGGACACCTAGATGGGTTGCTCCCAGCCTTGCGTGATGTCTTGGTGGACACCTAGATGGGTTGATGTTGCTCCCAGCCTTGCCTGATGTCTTGGTCATCTCCTAGGTGATGAGATATGTCCCGTTCCCGTTCCCGTTCACCTGGAGGTAAAGCTCCTGAGCGACCCAAACAAGTACCAGGCTGAGGACAAGGTCCTGCTGCTGTGTCTCATCGAGGGGAAGAGAAGTGGCGAAGCCCAGGTGGAATGGTTGATGAACCGCGATTTGGTGGACGTGGCCGCGGAGGACTACACCTGTGACCAGTGCTCCAATAACAAGGGCACCTTCACGAGCCAGGTCAACGTCAGCCGGCAGAGCTGGGACCTGGGGGCCGAGTTCTCTTGCAGAGTGACCCACCCATCGCTGAAGGAACCAACCGTCGCTGACATCAGCAGTTTCTGCTCAGGTGAGGCTGAGGAAGGCGTGGGGTCCTGAAGGTCACAGCTGGGGGGCAGGTTGAGAGGGTTGGTTGGCTCCGTAGAGAGCAGAGATGGTGGGTTGGGACACAGGACACATGGACATGGGCGGGTGGTTGATGGGACGATGGTCGGTTGCTAGAAAAGCGGCTGGTTGGTTGGTTGGAGAACGTCGAGGTGGATGGTTGGGAGGAAGGGATGGAGGTGGGCAGGTGGTTGAAGGATATAGAGATGGAGAAGTTGATGGACCCACCAGATGGTTGATGGTTGAGATGGACGGATGATGGTTGAGATGGATGGTTGGGAGGAAGGGATGGAGGTGGGCAGGTGGTTGAAGGATATAGAGATGGAGAAGTTGATGGACCCACCAGATGGTTGATGGTTGAGATGGACGGACGATGCTTGAGTTTCTCCTGCCAATCAGACGAGCGTTCGGGGAGGGGGGGACACCAAAGCTTTGCCCCTCCCCCGGGGAGGGGTGGGGAGCGCCCTGTCGAATTTGGCGTCCGCCGAGGCCCAAGCTCCACCCGCTCAACGCCGCTCCCCTCCCCCCCCCC